GGTTTTGTGTGTATGTGGTGGCAGTCGTCTGCCAGTTGGGTGCCTGCAGACAGACACGGCAACTGCGAGAGTAGATTGTGCCAGTGGGTGTGTCTGGTGTGTGAAGTGTGAGAGAGTGACGGCGAGGAGTTGTATGCGAGGCGGGTGGGCGAATGGGAGCCGGGCTCCGGGACGAGAAGCCGACCAATCCTGGCCTCGTCTGTCTCCTCTCGATCGGGCAATTTCGCGGACGAATCAATCCGAACCAGCCAAGTGGTACCGACCGACCGACCGACCGACCGACCGACCGAGGAGACTAATTGTGCAGGTGTGTTGTTTCTTCTTGTTCGACTCACTCACCTCTTTGCCCTCCTCGACGTCGTCAACGTCGTCGAGGTGGTCGAGATTGTCGTCAAGACGATAGATTTCGTAGAGCTCGCGCGAGTCCTGCGGTCTTGCGGCTCCACTGGCCCGGGACACGCGACAACCGACCAGCGGACAGGCTCGAGTCGCGCCGCCAGCGCGCCCCAGCCGCGGCGCACGATGCGCTCTTGTGGCCGAAGCACCCCGTTCGGGAAGCAAAGCCTTTGGCCGACGACGACGACGACGACGACGAGGACGAGGACGAGGACGAGGACGACGACGCCGACGACGAGGAGGACCACGTTCGAAGCCGGTCACGCAACCTTCACGCCCAGTCGCCCTTTGGCCAGCGGTCACGTCGACCGACCTTCGCGTCATTCTCGACCGCACCACGTCGCCACCAACCATGCGTGCCCGAGGTCCCAAGCTACCGCCAGCCCCAGGCGAACACCGTCACCTGCTGCCGCCTCGGCACCAACACGAACAGCAACACCAGCGAGCAAATCATCTCATGAATCAGCACCAATACCGACTGAAACGTCAAAGCCAACAAGAGCAAGAGCTTGCAAACCACCATCAACACCAACTTTATTACCCAAACCACAGCCACAACTACTACAACGAATATCAACAACAACAACAACAACAACAACAACAACAACAACATTTGGAAGATCAACTTCAACGTCAACCCCGACAGGAGCAGGACTATCAGCGGTCACAGCAACAGCGACACTGGCCGGTGCCGGTCTGTCGTCGGGCCACGTTGCCACGGCCACCGGCCGCGGCCGGAACGACGCTTACGTTGGGCGACTTTATCGCGCAGTGCCGAAGCGACAGCCTCGAGGCTGGGCCCGACTGGACGGCGAGTCGACAGAGCCCGAGCGAGGCGAGGCTGCGTCATTGCGATCTGGAGCGCGGCGAAGCCGTGGGCAGCAGTGACGGCGAGAGCGACGGCGACGGCAACGGCGAGGGCGACGGCGATTGTGAAGCCGAGGTCGCCGTCGACGGCAATGGCCGCTACGCCGACGTTGATGAGGCGAATGTGAGCGCAAGATTGACGGCGACGGCGACGGCGACGGCGACGGCGACGGCGAGGCTGTCTGTGAGCGGACCGGAGAGTGACGAGGAGGAGGGCGCCAGCAGCCTGACGGTGCGTGAGATGGTGCGTCGACTGGAGACGCGTTCGAGTCGCGACTGGTCCGTGTTGGAGTGCGGCGCGGCTCGTGCGAGCGAGAAAGGCGACGGCGACAGCGACGTCGAAGTGAACGGCGACAGGGAGGGCAACGCTGTTGCCGGCCAGCCAATGGGGCGGCAGCGTTCGTCGGTGCGGGACTCGAGCCCACGGCCGGACGAAGCGGTGGAGACGCGGCAGGCGCAGGTGCGAGTCGACGTGGCGCGAGAGGAGGAGAGCGCGGACATTGTGAATCGGTTGAGTCGAGAGGAGCGCGACTTTCTGCGGAGGATCGAGCAGAAGGAGCAGGAGACCGGTCGTCTGCAGCAGTTGGCGTCGCAACGGGCCGAGTCGAAGCGACCGGCCGAGCCGCACTGTTGGCAGGACGCGTCGAGCTGTTGCCGGCGCTTCTTCGCCTTCCTCGTCTCGCACATCGGCCTCACCTTCCTCGTCGTCGGCTACACCCTCCTCGGGGGCCAACTGTTCTGCGTGCTCGAGCGCAAGAACGAGATCGCGAAGAAGCGGGAGATGAACCAGATCTGGTCCGATCTCACGCACAACATGACTCTGATGTGGCGCGACAGCATGCTCCAGCTCATCGCCGCCCTCGTCACGGCGAACCGACCTCGCGCCGGCCGCCTCCACCTCCGCCAGTCGCCCAATCGCCATTCCGTCGACCTCACCGGCACCTCCGCATCTGCCGTCTCTTTTCAATCGCCGTCCTCGCCGTCGCCGTTATTGCAATCGACGTTGCCGTCGCCGTCGCCGTCGCCATCGCCGTTGTCGTCGCCGTCATCGCCGTTGGACAGTCGAGACGCGTCGTCAGGCGTCGACGTCGCCGCGCCGCGCCACGTCGAGGGCTTCTCCTGGTTCTTCTCGCAAAACGGCTACGCGCACGACATTCTGCCGGCCAGTTGGCAGGACCGACTGGCCGACGAGGACTTCATCAAGTGGACCCAGGCGCGAACCCCGCCCACCACGCTGTTGCCAGGCCCGCTGCTGCCCGTCGGCCCGACGACGCCCGGCTCGGCCAACGTCAACGCGGAGGAGACCGTGGTCGGACTGGCCGGCCTCGGAGAGCCGGCTCTGTTGCGCTGGAACGAGACCTTCTCGGGCGACGTGCTCATCTCCATTCCAAACTATCTGTACATGACCACGTCTGCCGAGAACCTGCTCTCCGTCGTCAACGAGACCGTGACAGAATTTGTCCTCTTCAACGTCACCGATTTGGTGAAAGGTTACATGGCGCGTGTCATGAAGGCCATCACCGACGAGGGCTGGAACGGAGTCGAGGGTCTCGACGACATCAACTGGACCTTCGAGGGCGGAGTGCTCTACGCCGTCACGATCATCACCACCATCGGTGCGAACAGCCACGATTTGTTGCCATTTTGCGCGTGAGAGACTAGTCAACACGATAGACGCATAGATACATAAGCATACGAACAATATTTGTGTTTCTAGCAATCTCTTGTTTCATAATTGTTCAACTGACTTCCATTTCGAGTGGAAGTGTTGCGAGAAGAGATTCGAAGGTCGTTTCCACCAGAAGACGACAGCGGATTCAAGAATTATCTTGTTTCACAATTGTTGAGCTCACTTCCATTTCGAGTAAAAATGTTGCGAGAAGAGATTCGAAGGTCAGTTCCACCAGAAGACGACAGCGGATTCGAGAATTCTCTTGTTTCACAATTGTTGAGCTCACTTCCATTTCGAGTAAAAATGTTGCGAGAAGAGATTCGAAGTACGCATCCACCAAAAGACGACGGCGCATTCCTTTTGACCAACTGTCGATTGGCTCTACTGGAAGGTTAATGCTGACGCTGTTTCCGAGGCAATCTCACTGGATTCCGGTGAAAAGGTGTTTGATGACGGACATCATCAGAGCAAGGTTACATCGTCACAAGAAAATTCAAGCTGACGAGTCAAGAAAACTCACCGGCAAATCCCTAAAAAGTGGTATATATACTCTACATATGGTCTCTTTCATCAAGTATAAAGTGATTTGGTTAGGGTTAGGCCAGATGTAGAGTATATGAACCACTTCTTAGGAATTTGCCAGTGAGTTTTCTTGACTCGTTAGCTTGAATTTGGTTGTGACG